GTGTTTTCTGTCCACGCAATGAACTGTTCCTTGTCAATACCATGTGTCAACAGTCTGTACATGTGTGTGTTTTCTGTCCACGCAATGAACTGTTCGTTGTCAATACCATGTGTCAACAGTCTGTACATGTGTGTGTTTTCTGTCCACGCAATGAACTGTTCATCGTCAATACCATGTCCCATCACCACAAAGATTGGTTATCTGTCCCTCTCTAGTCACATCCTACCTCTCTGTTCTTCCTGACTCTTGGCAATTACTCTGTTCTCCATCAGAAAACTTTGTCATTTTGAGAATCTTCTATAACTGAAAGGTAGTACAGGACCTTTAACACTGATTTTATCATACAATATGATATATATGTATAATCTTATTATCTGTCACATATATGGCATATTACATATAATATAAAAAACATATATGATATATAATGTAACATTTGTTATATATAATATAAATAACATTTGTCATTGGCAAATTTGTACTTTAGTTTCTTATTAATGAAAATTATGCCAGTGAAGTTCGGTGAGGTCTATAAACATAAATTCTTAAAGCTTGCTTTCTCTTAAAGCTCATTTGATATAGTCGTCATCGGGGGCGGAATTGTGGGGCTTGCCTCTGCCAGAACACTCATCCTGAAACATCCCGGACTTTCAATTGGTGTTGTGGAAAAGGAGAAAGATTTAGGTATGTATGTGTACCGTCAGCTTGCTGGGAACCTGCTTCCTTTGATGGCTGAATCAGTCATGAAAAACGTTGATGGTAGTGTCTCATTTTGGGTTCTCTTGAAAGGGAAGTCTGGGACAAGGGCTTGCATGGAGGTGGTTGATTTGGGGGGCTGTATGGGGGTGGCAGGAAGAAGAGGGGGTGGGGAGACTAAAGACCGCACAAGGGCACCCTCTAAATGTGCTGCTGGAGCTTGAGTACCCTGGTACCCCAGGGGCAGCATGGTCTTCCCAGGCTTGTGTTCATTCTCCATCAGCCTCTAGGATTGTCCCGACTGATACTCACAACTCCACTTCCCTCCAAAACGGGCCTTGGAGCATGTGGTAGGCCTTTAAAGTGGTTTGGTGAAATGATGTTTAAACAAAGCTTAAGCTGAACTCAGAGATGGGCAGGAGTGATTTAGCAGTGATGCCAGGGTAGCTGCTATAGGAAGGTGCCAAGAAACAGAACACATCTAGGCAGAAGTTTTAAATGATGTGGCCTCTGACTGCTACATGGATAATTGTTCTTTACCTCCTAGGTTCTGTGTGAGTCATTTACCTTGTGTCTCTTGTTTTATAGCTCTTCACCAGACTGGACGGAACAGTGGTGTCATCCATAGTGGAATTTACTATAAACCCGAAACCCTGAAAGCTAAATTGTGTGTGGAAGGCGCCGCCCTCATCTATGAGTACTGTGACCGCAAGGGAATCCCCTACAAGCAATGTGGCAAGGTACAGCATTTCACTAGGGCCTTGGCTTGTTTATTTATTTATTTATTTTTAAAGATTTCTTTATTTAATATGCAATGGTGGTATCAGATCCTCTGGAACTGTAGTTACAGACAGTTGTGAGCTGCCATATGGGTGCTGGAAATTGAACCCAGGTCCTCTGGAAGAGCAGCCAGTGCTCTTAACCTCTGAGCCATTTCTCCAGCCCCTTGTCTTGTTTATAACTAGCATTTTCTTAGGTTTAATGTCGAAAATTTAAAAAAGATGGGACTTTTTCTGCTCTTGTATCTATGTAATTTAATGTAGTCTACGGAATAACAAAAATGATGTGATGACTTTATGTAATTAAAAAGTAATCTTTACTACATACAATAAGTATACAATTTAGTTATTAATGTATTTATAGAGTTGTGCCACTATCAGTACTAATTTTAGAATATTTTCATCACCCTCAAAATAAACTATATACCAGCTCTCCATTCCTACCTCTCTTGAGTGTCTAATAATTATTTTGTTTTCTGTTTCTATACAGTTACTTGCTTTATACTTTGTATCTCTTTTTTTTTTTTTTTTAAACATGTATGTTTTAAAAACTCTCTATGTAGCTCTGGCTGTCCTGGAACTCACTCTGTAGACCAAGCTTGGCCTTGAACTCAGAGATCCACCTGCTTCTGCCTCCCAAGTGCTAGGATTAAAGGTGTGTGCCACCACCACCCCGCTTATATATATCTTATAAATAGAATTATGTCAGAACATGTGCTATTCTATGACATTAAAAAAGATATACACTTACCATAATGTTTTCAGAGGTGATCCATGTTGTAGCATTAATTAGTACTTCATTCTTTTTTATGGCTGATTCCATTATGTGGATAGGCCTCATTTTGTTTAGGTACTTATGAGTTGATTCATTTGAGTTGTTTCTGCTTTTTTTTGTTATAAATAATACAGTTATAGGTATTTATGTATAACATTTATGGAAGCCCATTCACAATGAACTGTTCATTGTTAATACCATGTCCCATCATCACAAAGATTCATTATATGTCCCTCTCTGGTCACATTCTACCTCTCTGTTCTTCCTGACTCTTGGCAATTACTCTGTTCTCCATCAGAAAACTTTGTCATTTTGAGAATCTTCTATAGCTGAAATGTCTTTGTTGGAAGTTTTTGTTTGTTTTACTTGTCACTGTTCAATTCAGGGTTTTTTTTTGTGTTGTTTGTTGTGAGTCATTTTCGGAAGTATCTTTCTAACAATTTGAGCATCTGAATGGTCTGCTTTCTTTGCCATAGTTGTTCATACCACCCTTTATGAGTCTTATTTCTATAAGGTTGGTCATGATGTCCTTTCTCCACATTTTAAGTCTGAAAGCTCATTATTGTCATTAAAGATGCATTGCATTAAAAAGAAGACGCATTACAATTTTTTTTAGTAACGTGAGAAAATACCCTGATAGAATGTTAAGTGGAGAAAGGAAGGAGAAAGTTGTGTAGTTTTCGTTGGGTTGTAAGAGGTCAGGATGGCAAACCTTTATCTGCTTTATGATTTACAAATACTCCCATTCTGTGATCTGTCTTTTTACTTTCTTGAAGGTGTCCTTTAACTCATTTTGTTTAAAAAGTTAATCATTTATTGACTTAAGTAGCCTTTGTACCTTGACCAGAAGCATTATCTCAGGGAATTCTGTTGACTCTTTGGTATGAGGTAGTGGTTTGTGCTTGCGAATGTACCCATGACTGTATATCTGTGTTTTGCCTTGCTGTGAAATAAGAAGAAACTCAATTTCAGATACCTTTCTCCAGAATATATAGGAAAAGAGTTCTGAGGAAAGTTGATTAAATGTAATTCTTCCCTCTGCCTTAGTAAAGACTGTGTTATTTAAAAGAATAGTTTGTTGAGATTAGTGCCCCATTATATTGATTATTGACTGGTTTTTTTTTTTTTTTTATGAACTAGCATTTCACATTTCCTTGTAGAAATAAGAAGGGTATTTACTTTGAAAGATACAAATGGGGCTAGAGACATGGCTCAGCAGTTATGAACACTGGCTGCTCTTGCAGAGGACCCATGTTCAATCCCCAGGACCTACATGGTAGCTCAGAACCACCTGTCACTCCAGTTCTAGGGGATCCATGACCCACTCTTCCCTCCATTGCATACAAATGGTGCAAAGACCTACATGCAGGCGAAACACTCATACACATAATAAATCTTAAAAGTAACAAAAGAAAGCTGTAAACATGTACTTCTCTTGTTGCTGGGATGGAGGAAGTGATGATGATAAGAGTTGTATATGGCTGGGATCATACTGAAGCAAGAAATGGAAATTGAGGCTGCATTTCACATTTGGGGAGATTAGTTTTAATGCTATTTTCTTAAGACTTTTTTTTCTTACTGAAGGAAAGAAATAAAATAATGAACAAAGAGAGAAGCAGATTTATGAAAGAAAAATGCTTTATATTAACCCTGTTTGAGAATGTAATAATTTGTGATTTTAACATTGGCTATATGTTTGATAGCTGGTGATATTTTTAACTCTATTCATATATCTTGTCATTTTCTGAAGCTAATAGTAGCTGTTGAACAAGACGAAATTCCCAGACTTCAGGCTCTGTATGAGAGAGGTCTGCAGAATGGAGTCCAAGGCTTGAGACTGATCCAGCAGGAGGAAATAAAAAAGAAGGAACCATATTGCAGGGTGAGTGATTGACCAGCCTGGTGCACATGGTAGTTTCCATAAACTATTCCAAAAAATGCTGCTGTGAATGAACATTCTAGAATATATGTTTTGGTAAAAAATGTTAATATTGCTATTGGCTATATATACATCAGAGAGAGTTTGTTAGGTTGCAGTTTATGTGTTTATGTTCAGCTTTGGCAGATATTGCCAAAACATTTTCCAAAGTACCTTGGCTTATTATCTCAGTCACATAGAGTTCCAGTTGCTCTGTGTTCTCAGACACGTGGTCTTTGTTTTCACTGAAGCCACTTTTGTGGGTATGTCCAACAAGCTGATTCTATCTACTGAAAATGCAGTAGGCTAGAAATCTTCCAGATTCGGGGATGCTGAACATGCCTAATCCAAAACTTCACACAAATCAAAATGTTCCCAAATTCAAATATTTTTGAGCATTCTGTTGACATTTTAAAGTTTTATATTTTTTCAGCTTAGATATTCTCAAACTGTAGCATTACATTATGCTTTTAACTTGTATTTTCCCAATGAGCCAGTGTTACCTACCTTCATATGTTTATTTCCAACTTGGAAACTTTTCCCCCAAAAGTTCCTGTTTGAGTGGTTTGACCATATTTCTATTGGGTTTATTGCTTCTTTTATAATTATTAATTCTTACTAACTTTAGAGGTCCATTACATAGTCTGTATATATCTGTTATGTATATAAATATATACTTGTTAGTACATCTAAATATGTATGACAGGCATCACTGCCTCTCTGTAACTTGTCCTTTTATTTTAATTGTATCTTCAGATGAACAGAAGTTCTTAATGTAATCAATTTAGCAGTTTATGTATATGTTTTCCTTTTATGGTTAGTGCTTTTAATGTTCTGTTTGAGGAATCTTTTTCTATCCCATGGTCTGTAAAACATCTTACGTGTTATTTGTTATTGTTAAGAAAAATCTCAATCATTCAATTTTACCAATGAAGATTCAGGAGCCAGATGCTGAGGTGAAAGCCTGCTAGCTCAGAGAGGCAGAGAAAGCGCCCGGTTGACCTTCCTCCTCTCCCTGTAGTCCCCCATGGTCCCTGAAGCCTCTCCTCTCTCTACCATCACAAAGCTCCTCAAACTGAATGTCCCTCCCTTCTACTTCCTGTGTGTCTCTCTACCCATCCTCCTGACTCCCTTTCTCTCTATGGTTTTTTCCTGTTAACTGGTTGCTTGCTCTACCTCTTAATCTATAGTTGAGTTTATTTAATCCTGTCTACAGCATTCAAGCAGAAAGCTCTTGGATTAAAAGTGTGTGTTAGGGCTGAGCCATACCACAACTAGAAATAGGTTTTTCTAGTAAACAATAAAATCTTGGGGTTCGCAGTGTGATCAACTATCCTGCAATAGTTTTTCTAAAAACTACACTTTACCTTTCATTTGGAATTGAGTTTTGTATATAGCATAAGGCATAGGTCAAGGCATATTCACCCCCCATGAATATCCAATTGAGCATCATTTATAGAGACTGTATTTCCTCTACTGTATGCAGCATCCTTTTTTGATAGCAAGTGTCTGGGTTGTGAATGAACTGTGTTCTGTCCTGTTGACTCATGCATTATGTATGTGCTAACTGTTATGCCCAGATCCCAGAGACCCCCAAAAGACCACCATAGAGACTGAATCCCATATGTGAAAGAAAGAGCCTTTATTACCTTCAAGCTCCAGGCTTGGTTTCTCTGTCCAACGCAGCGGTGAGAGCAGAGAGCCCCAAGCTCAGGTGGGGTAGAGTTTTTATCATAGCAGAGGTTGGGGTGAGGGGGGGTTCCAGGGTTCAGGAAGGACCCTGATTGGCTGACATTTGTCTAGGGGTATCTGTAAAACAGAAATAGGTGTGTGCTAGACTCAGGGACATCTGGTCACCTTATCTTACGGTTGGAATGTTTGGGATGTCAGGTACTTCCCCTTAGAAGTAGGCCCTCCCTGGGTGGGGTCAGCTTATGGCTTTTCCTGGGTCTGGGTGTTGCCTGCCATGGCGGCTGTGTGGCCAAGCTGTTTGGGGCCCCTCTTCACTACCATGTCTTAGTTACAGTAGCCCAGCTGAACAGTGGCTCCAGGAAGCCGAGCCGAGGCGGCTTAGACAGAGAGGGCCGAGGAAACAGGAAGGGCACACAGAGCAGGTGGGCACCTTCAGTGTTCCTTTCCTGCTAGTTCAAATGGGGTGCTTTGTCACGCTGACTACAGCTGCTCAGCCTGGAGATTTGGCTGTTTTTTTTCTGCCTCTGGGTTCTTAAGATTAAATGAATAGTTTTGCTGACATGAAGGTGACTCCATTTCAGTTTGGTCTGCCAGGACTTATGGTGGGGCCTGGTGCCGGAAAACTCAGTCTGGAAAAAACTCAGCCTTCTCTAACTTGTACTGAATAAGTGTTTTCCGAAAGCACACTAAATTTGTTGGCATTTCATAGCTTTGTGTGGATTTAATATGTTTTGATTGTGAGGCTAACATGTTGGAATTTCACTGGCATGGATTGCCTTTGAGAATAAAACAATTTGTAAACTTCAAAAAAGAACACCAGTTTAACATAATAATTTTTTAATATTTATTATGTATACAATGTTCTGTCTGCATATATTCATATATTCCTACACCTCAGAAGAGGGAACCAGATCTCATCATAGATGGTTGAGAGCCACCATGTGGGTGCTGGGAATTGAACTCGGGACCTCTGGGAGAATTGCCGGTGCTCTAAACCTCTGAGCCATCTCTCTAACCCTTAACATAATAATTTTATCTGCTAATGAAAAAACTCTTTAAAATTTAACAATTTGTTTGAAAAGACAAAAAAAAAAAAAAAAAAAAAGACCTTTTGACCTCTACAGGTTTGAGCATGCTGTAGAAATAATTCCATTTTAGAGCCTGAGAACAGATTCTCCATGCTGTGCTGGTTTGGGGGATTTGGAAGGGCTTATCTCATTGTCCTCTGCTGTGTATTCTCTTGAAGAGCTGTAAAGACTAGAGACCAGGAACCAGAGTCCAGTACTCTTTATCAGACTTTACTGTCTACAGTTTCTCAATGTTTTTTTAATTTTTCAAAAATTTTCACATCTTGTGGAGATTGAGGATGAGTCTGGATATTTTCTTGAAACCTGGCCATATGATCCTTCTAAATCCTTTGAATGAAGCAGATGAGGTGTATGTACTGATAATAAGAAGTGAGAGACGTGCACTGAGCCAGGTATGGTGGCACACGCCTTTAATCCCAGCACTTGAGAGGCAGAGGCAGGCGGATCTCTGTGAGTTCGAGGCCAGGCTGGTCTACAGAGCGAGATTGAGGGCAGCCATAGCTACATAGTAAGACTCTGTCTTGAAAAAAGGAAAAAGAAAAAGGAAGAAGAAATCGGTTGTGGTTTTCCCAGGCTCCTAACAAGTGCTTCGCTCCCAGTAATGGACTCAAAACAGGCTTTGAGTCAAGACAAATCCCTTATTTACTATGTGCCAATACCTTAGACACTGCAGATATGAACGATGAGGAATAAAGTGTGGCTGCCCTCCTGAAAGGAGTCTTAGTGTGACAGGAGAGAGGTTTTAATAGAGCACAGATGCTAACTCTTCCGATGGAGTCAGCATGACTTACTGTTAGCGTCAGAGGGAAAGCAGCCTTCCCAGGGGCGAACGGCCCCCTTGAAGATTGGATAGAGGACTTATAACAGAGGTGGACCATGCTTCTCTCTGAAGCTGCCACACAGTGTTGTGCTCTATGTGATGTCATCTGCAGTCATAACTGTGACAATACGTAGTGGGAAATACAGTCTGGTTATTTCACAGAGGGACCCTGAGGAAGTTCCTCCCCTTTCTCCCATCCTCACCACCACAACCACGAATGTTTCCGTGGTACACAGTCACTCCCGGGTCTCCTGGCCTGCTACAAAGAGGTTCATTAGGTCAACTCTAAAGCACTTCTTGCTCCAGATCCCTTGAAGAAGGCTGAGTAACCCCAGTGAGAGGTCTCGCAAAACTTGAAGCTGCCTCTGTGCACTTTGAAGTGGGGAACAACTCTTGATGGTACCCTCTGAGTCATCCCCGGTGACAGTCCTGACTCAGTCTGACCCGGGTGCCCTTTCTCTCGGCATAAGAGGTCAAGCACACGCTTTTCTCCCTTGTTTCCACCCTTGTTTCCTTACTGGGTTTAGCTCCCTGCTCTTCCAGCCGCTTGACCAGCCACCACATTATTTTTCAAGCTGTGACCTGCTAATCTAGACAGTGCACAGCCAGTCTCCAGGTTGAGAGTACAACCAGCCTGTCCACCAGTCCCGTCTCAGGCAACCATGCTCTAGCCAGACCTGGACCTGGGAACTGGACGGCTTGGCCACGATGGCTTGTTCCACACTTTCCGTGTACATTCGGTTAGGGACACCCACACTTCCTCAGAAGGAGCAAGACCAAGACTAGGAAGAGAAAAAACAGAAGGGAGACTCTCTTAGAGTTCGGAAAGGTGAAAATGCAGCAATTTAAAGACATGCCTCAAATGTTTCTTCACTCAGGAAATATTTGAGGGGTTTGTGTGCAGGTCCTAGGAGTACAAAGGGAATAGGAGGATGTTTGGATCCTAAAGAACTGTTGATTCAGAACGAAGCACGTTTGCTGAACGTTTCTATACCTCCCATGTCACAGTTTTTATGCTAGGTAAGGGAGTTGGTTCTGTGGCTTAAACTCTTGAAACATTACCTTCCAAGGCTGCTGTGCCCAGCATCCTATCTAGAGGCTAAGACTGAGTGTAGCTTTTGACTTGTGAATCTGTGGATTGTTGGACAGTAAGTCTAGCATAAAGTCTCACATGTGTCAATCATATCAAAACAGGAGCGACTTCCTAACCCTAACAGGCTTTTTGTGTGCTGGAATCAAGCTTGGTTAGGTAAATGGTGAGGTTTGCTAAATGTTGCAGGTTTTGTGAGCTCTTGGCCTGACCCCGGCATCTGGAAGCATTGTTTGTGGAGGGAGGGAGAGTGAAAAGCTTTTAAGGCAATATACCAGTGAAATATTTAAAATGCTATTTCAGATATTATTTTAAAAATGAACAGCAATGCTGTGTTGACCAAACAAAATGTCATAAAAAGGGACTGATTGCACTCAGCTCCAGGCATTAGTTATCTGAGAACCGGTAACCTTCTAAGGGAAATTGATTGGGATAACTGATGTGTATATACAGTGCAAGTATGTTTAGCACCAAAACATGCTTGGTATTTGTTGTGTGACTAGTGGCACATTCACCATTTATTCACAGATAAATCAATCAATCAATCAAATATGCATGAATTTAGACTTATATGTATGCCTTCAGTGACAGAGAGAAACACAACAAAAACCAGGCTGTTCATTTCTCTTATTACCTGAATGAAGCTGAATTAGTCAGGGAATGTCCCTAGTCCCCATTTACAGTCTGGAAGACCTGCAGCAGATCCTTGCAGTGCCCTGCATACCGTGTGACCAGGGAGCTAGAACAGCTTTGAGATTTCACTGGTCGTGAGTGACGTGTGCACCACTACAAAAGTTAGTGCTTTATTTATTTATTCATTTATTTTTGAGACAGGGTTTCTCTGTGTAACGGTCTCGGCTGTTCTGGAACTCACTCTGTAGACCAGGCTGGCCTTAAATGCACAGAGATCTGCGTGTCTCTGCCTCCTGAGTGCTGGGATTAAAGGCATGTGCCGCCGCTACCACCACCACCACCGCCACCACCACCACCACCACCACCACAACCCAGCTTTGTTTAGCTAGTATTATTTCTCCCTTCTAGTAGGCACATTGTACACACACACACACACACACACACACACACACACACACACACACACACGTTCATGACCAAATTTAGGCATTTAACAAGAGCAGACTTTTCTGTCACTGTTTTAAACACTGTCAGGTTTTTGTTAAGCAAGGATAATGTGTGTTACCCATCAAAATAAAGAAGCATAAAATTCCAAACAAAATTAAAGCTTTGCAACTGGGTGGTGGTGGCGCACACCTTTAATCCCAGCACTAAGGAGACAGAGGCAGGTGGAGCTGTGTTTGATTGATTTTTTTTGGGGGGGAGGGGTTTTGAGACAGGGTTTCTCTGTAGCTTTGGAGCCTGTCCTGGACTAGCTCTGTAGACCAGGCTGGCCTGGAACTCACAGAGATCCACCTGCCTCTGCTTCTGAGTGCTGGGATTATAGGCATACGCCCAGCGGAGCTGTGTTTTTAAGACTAGCCTGGTCTACAAAGGGAGTTCCAGAGCCAGGCGGTGGTGGCGCACGCCTTTAATCCCAGCACTCGGGAGGCAGAGGCAGGTGGATCTCTGTGAGTTTGAGGCTAGCCTGGTCTACCAA